ATTGGCTGTTACAGTATCAGGACCATAAACACTATTCACATTTTTAGCCGCCTGGCTTGCGTTTTCGCCTTTATCGAAGAAAAACTGTAAAATATGGCGTATTTTCTCTTTGCTGGTGTCCATCTTTGACGCGCACTCAAACAATATTGAATCGAACAATCACAAAACTGTCTGAGAAGTTTTTTTAGTACGAAATCTTATCTTTTTAACGCCATCTAGCGTAAACTGATCGCACTTATACAACGCGAGATACACATTACTAAAGCATCTATTGGAAAAATAATGGATTTCTTTTTACTACACCTTATATTTATTACGCAATTACTTGTGTAATAAATACTTACACATGTATAAACTTGGTTAATTATATTGATTTCACTTCTTTTTTTAATTAAATTAATTTAAAACATCTGCATTTTCTTTAAGTTAATATGTACTTTTCGTTTTATAGTTTTTGTTTTGATAATTTTTATTTTGATTTCTTTTGTTTGGCATTTCTTGTATTAGTATTTCTTATTTGGTTCTTTTCTTTGATACGTATTCGGCGTTCTTTTTCTTTTGTAAAATTAATGCTCTTCGAATTTAATACAATTGTTTTGCATATGTCTTTCGTTTTTATGCTATTAATCAAGTGTAATTAGGGAAGTGTCAGGCTTGTTTAAAATACGAATATGGACACATAATTTGCATTGCTTGCAATGAAAAATATATTTAGTACATAATTTTCTCATGAAAACATTGTATACAACATTGTCATATAATAAAACTTGCTTATAAAACTTATACGCTATAAATATTTCATTTTTTTGCAATGTTGCGGATGTAATACTGCATAAAAATAATTGAAACATAACAAATGTTTGCACCAACTATATGTAATGTGTCTACATTCGTGTTTGCATTAAACAAGCCTGACACTTCTCTAATTATCCCTGATTAATAGCATAAAAACGAAAAACATATGCAAAATATTAATTACATGACCTAAGATAAGAAAAAAAAAAACACCGCTTACGGACAACTTGTTGCCAGGGTTCGAACGCTCACTGTCGACTCAAAAATGTTCGACGTGGGAGCCTCAGTCTGCTCAGCCACGCCGCTTTACTGAAAGCTATTTGCAACTTTAGCTATATGTATGATACAGTCCCGCGAACCAAATTTATACTATAATTTCTCACAAACAAAAGCCCATTGGCACAAACCCTGTTAAGATGTTAATGCTCAACATCGCAGCTAGCGAACGTGCTATGACTCGTTCAGAAATCAATTTAGCAGGTTGTAGCATCTCCTTGTAAATTATTTTAGCAATGTTCCAATCACTTTCCAGACAAATGATTGTAATTTTTTTATTATTTGAGGATTTAAACATTGATTTTTCAAAATCTATTCACCTTACACTTAGGGCTAAAATCTTTTTCAACATCTCCCATTATCACTAAAATATTTCTTAACTTTGTAATGTTGCAGTTATTCTGCTTTTTAGATATTGTGTGAAATATTTCATTGATGTTATATGTACTTCTGAATCATGCAAACATGTCTTTAAGGTTCCATTTTTCTTTTGACTTCTCGTAAAAAAATTTTAAACATTTCAAGGATGTCTTTCTAAGCGCGTTATAAATATTATTTAATACTTTTCGTATTCCAATGTGAGTAATATATTCCATTAAAAATCCTTCAAATTATAATATCGTTATACACGCCAATCACGATTATGATCCCACATAGCACATGGACGTCCACTGACCGTCCGAAGGATGTCCGATTGTTTCGACATGGACATCCATAGGATGTCGGAATACATCCGATAGCTGTCCATAGGACGTACATATTAAATCCCAATGACCGGCCGAAAGACATCCGCTGGACATCCGATTAGTCCAACACGGACGTAATTTAGTGGCGCAGCCAGAAATGAAAAATCGAATCGACTAAAAAACTTTTGACTCTTTCCTTTACGTTGATACTTAAAAAAAGATTTGCTGAAATTATCTAGCATGCATAAAAAAAATTCATTTCATATATTAATCTTTAATGTTTCTCCCCAATTTCGAACTCGAACTGCATCCGGTCGTCCATCTTGTTTCCTAGACCTACTCCTAGTCTTCATGACTGTTGCTTCACTTTGATAATCAGATGGTTATTAATGACTCCAATGTTTCTGATGACATTTTTGTGACTTATGCTATGTAATGTTAATCACATATAATCTTTATGTGTTCATAAGACATTGTAATAACATATTTGACATTAAAAATAACGTAACGCAGATAATATATGACGAATATTGATATAATGCATATTGGCGTATAATGTGTATTAGAAATTACGCCATAATTATTTTTGAATTTTTAATCAAGCATTACAATAATTAATCCAAACAATAAATTGATTGGAAATATTTCCAAGAAAATCTAAGTGAAACCAATTTATTTCTACTATAATCGACGTTAATTCGAGTTTTCTGATTGGGAGATTTTATAGTTATCAGCAGGTTTTATAGTCTACTTTTAAGATTATCTTATGTTCAGATGCTTTATAGCTAATGAAATAAGCTTATATTGTCTGAAGATAAACCTGAGATGATCGAAACTCGCGATTGAACTCACGTTTCAAATAACGACTATTAATATAAGCCATAAAAAACTTTTTTAACAAAAAATTTAGTATTTCTAGACATTCATAATTTATTTACAGAAGTCAAGTAAAATGGATATGTTTTGGATGCTCATGGGATGTATTTTACTGGACATCCAGTGGATATCATAAACGGACGTCCATAGAACATTCGTAACATGTCCACGAACGTACCGACATAAAACGGACGTAATTTGGACATCCGATGGACGTCCTGTGCTATGTAGGATATTGACATGCATTGTGAAAAATCAAAAATATTCGAGAATATGAGTGCTCGTGAGCTTTTGTAGATACCCGGCTAAAAATTTAAAACGGGCGTTTAAAAGGCCTTACACAGTTTTTCTTCACTTCTATCTAGCCATTGTAAAGACAAGTCCAAGACACTACAGAGATGTACCGCTCATACACTTTAGGCCCTATTTTAGCATTAACTAGATCATTCCGTGATATACCTAAATAGCCTCTATTATGGCATGTCTATCTAGGCTCTAAACAGAGATGTAACATGCTCGTACATTTTAGATATCGTAACAAAGAACTTAAAAAAGAAGGTGCTATTTATAAATATATATTTAATTCAGTTTGTATAAATACGTGGAAAATTAAAGACAAAAGTCCCATTAAAGAAATTAATGTTTTTATAACATACGTAAAATATGAGTTAGTCAGTTTATATATAAATGATCAATTGCATGAAGATAAGACAGTTTATATTATTACTTCACACAGAATAATGTAAAAAATACATTTTTAATTTATTATTATCAAACGTTTATTGGTTTATCCGATATTGGTAGAATTCGAAATCGATTTGATATGATATGATATTATTATCATACATTTTTTTTCTTGAATTTGCAGTATAGTGCCAAAGTAGGTTTATCTTTACAAAACCTAGATAGAAATAGAGAAAAACTGTGTAGGGCTTTTTCCCCGTTTTAAACTTCTATCTAGGATATTTCAGGAATAAGCTAACTAGACCCTTGACTAGGCCCTGTGTGCACAGACCTAGTTAGGGCCATCCAAATCAATGCCTATCTGGAGCCTACTTACGAAAATCCATTCAGGAGTTATCTTTCAACAAAGTCAGGCCTATTTTTGGACATGCCTATCTAGGGCTTATATACGAAAATCTATTCAGGATTTGCCTCTGTAGGCTCTATTTATGCACAATGAAGACAAGCATATCTTCGGGCATGCCTATCTAGGGCCTGGACAGAATTGGGACACGCCCCGATTAATTTCTACCTAGATAGTTTTCAGTTCTCCTGTATGTACATGTGTGATACGCTTTATTTATTTTATAACGTTGCACTTTGTTTTGTTTATAGGAAATCATACATTTGATCGGGAAAAAAATGGTGGTCGCTTTTATTGTGCACAACACTTTGGATTATTAGGAACGCTGAAAACTAGAGCGGAGAAAAAGAAAAGTAATTTAGTGAACAAAGAAAATGAACCTAATGCTGCAATTACTTCAAGAACACCAGAAAAGGTATGATTTTTTAACGTGTAATGCATTGAATGCAATAGAAGTAATATGGATATTATTTTTATTAGTGAAGTAACATTCTATTCTAAAATTTTGAGACGATAATTTTCTTTAAAATTATTATTGACAAAGACCGCAACTTGAAAAATTAAGTTTTAGATAAGTGATATCTTATTGGACAGTTTGTATCGAGTATATGATGATTCTAAAGTGGTTTAAATAAATAAGTTTTTAACAAACATTAAAAATAAGGCTCAAATAATGTCCAACTACCGTTATACTTATAAAGCCAATAGAAGCCAGTCGCAGGATCTAGTTGTATGATTAATTTTTATTACGGGAGGATAATAATGTCTTACGATGTATTTCACGCACAAAAATTCTTTCTGTTATAACGTACGTTGGGCAATTTCATTATCGTTTGGCCGACCCTGTATATCCTGATTTATTCTAAATTAAATTAATAATTCTCTATTCCTATTATTGAATGACATTTTTAGCAATTTTGTGCTCGCATATTAATGTTGCGAAAAATACTGCTTCAGCTAGGTATCGAACCTGGACTTTCCTACATATCGGGCAGAACATTGCACCAATTCAGCACCGAGGCTTCGTATTCCTCGCAACACAATCAATATCTTATAAGATATTCGTAAACAGCGCTTGATGATCTCTGTCGTCGTATGCTTGTATATTAGGTCAAACTGAATAAAAAAGTCCTCTACCATTTTGCAATGACCATGTAGATTTTTAGTTATTAATTAATGAAGATTGGCGCATTATCGTAAAAATTGTGCAACAATCTTTTTTAATTAATAATTAAAAATTTTGTAATTATTTACAAAATGGACTTTTTTGTTCAATTTGACCTAATATACAGACACATGGCTACAAACGTCGCTATCACACCTCCTCTACCATATCATGCGTAATCATTCATAAGTCTTCTTACAGTTAATATCTCGATCATTATTGCAATTTTTACAAAACGATATTGAGCTTTTTTTCATTTCAATCTGCTGTACGTCTTTACGAGAGATTGTGAAATTAAGCTAGGTCACCCTGTATATATCGACTTAACGGTCCACAAGATTTTTTAGACATTTCTTTTTAGACGGTTTGAGGAAAAGATTGCAAAGTGAATTTTTAATTATTTCGTGCAGGTTACAACTTGCAATAATAAAAAATAAAAAAAAATAAAATTTTTTCCTGAAGAAATCAAGGTTACCTTAAATTTTTTTAAATGGCACCATACCTTTTTTATGTAATATTAACAAGACTCTAACAAGTAAATTTACCTTTGTGTCACTCGCCGATTTTACTGAAACTCAGTACACTTGTAGTAGTAGTTTGCAAAATTAATTGATGGTGGTGGAGATGTTTTCCAAATTATCAAATTATTGCAAAATTTCATTATACTATTTTCAAGAACGTTAATGATCATTAAACTTTTATCTGAGACGTTTTTTTTTTAATCTGTGACAGTTTCGAAGATATTTCCTCAAAACAAAATATGCCAAATTACCTTTCAGAAAGTGTTTCCACCTTTACAATTGCACCATTGCCGATATAAAAAATACGTATCTATTACTTTTAAATACTCTGTAAGTGTATAGAGTTTCAGTAAAATCGGCAAGTGACACAAAGGTACGTTTACTTGTAAGATGAATTCAATTCATTACTACAAGTGTCACTTTTATTAACAACAATAGTAAAACAATAAAAAAATTCTAAATTATGGAAGCTCAAATTACTTGCCTCCTTCTGCAATACATATCGTGTTTTTTATTTCGCAAATTATTTTGCGTAGCAGCTATACTAATATATGCTATTATGCTATTTGAATCTAAATTTGCACAAACTGTAATTATATTTTCACAAAGATCTTGAACATTATTATTAACTGGTGTTTAAGACACAAGAGCTTTCAAATATTTTTATAAGAAAAAATCTATCGAAGATAAACTTAGAGAACGAGATGGTCATCGGACTGGTCCATGTATACTTATAATAAAATTTTCATTGCTTTCCTGAAAATAGCAATGAGATCTACATTTTGCTTATATGAACTGCTATTTAAAATAATATTACACATTTAATATTATATATTAACAAAAGTAATACTGCGTTGAATTCATTTTAAAGTTCTCCACAATATCAATGTTACGTCCTGTAAGCGAACGTAACGTGATGGATTGCTTATAATAAGCCTCGGCCATACACATAAGTCAAAAGAACGAGTTAGCGACCAGAAAGGTCGTTTCACATGCTCAACGACGTATAACGAGTGATCCTATTTTGAGTCAGAGAACTGAATCTCTTTATTTGGGATTGGAGCTAGAGCGAATAATCGGAGGGAAAGGGACTGGAGAAAATGAAATTTAAAGTTAGATAAATTAATTTACAGACACAAAATTTATTTATCGCGGCTCATGTTACAATTTCGAGGATTACAAAAGTGACGGTAAAAATAACAAAATTTATGAGTTACGAGTGTGTGGGTGTATGAGTGCGTATATGTGTATGCGTGCAGGGAAGGATCGAAGTGCATTACTCTGATAGCAAAATGTCAGCAGTATGCCGGCAGATTGATGGCAGATTCGATCAAAAGATTATTGCAGATTGGCATCAACTGTATACACAATATGCACACAATCTGCTGGCAGTGCCTGCCAAAATCATTTGACGGCAAACTGATCGCAGAAAATGTGTAGATCCTGCCATGTGTCTGACGGCAGATTGATGGCAGAAACGCAGCAGATCCTGCCGTGTGTAGTCTGACAGCAGATTGGTGACAGAACGCATCCAGACAACACAAAATACTTATAAAACATTTACAAAATATTTATAAAATTTATTTGATCATTTTATAAATACTTACCAAAATATTTTATAAATACTTTTGTGACTTTAGATTCAAAATATAGATCACAAATATTTTTATCATAAATATTATAAAAATATTTATTAAAATATGTATATTTATATGCACTTTTTTTCCTGAATTTGAAAAAAATTTTCACTTTATTGTTTCACACGCTACTTAATTCAAGTTAAATTGTACTTCGAAAATTTGCTTACCATTGCTGAGATTCGAACCTGAGATCTCTGGTTTTCCTTATCTACTGCACCACTAGCACTTTGACTGAGAGACGCTTTTTTGAAGTACTAAAAAGACGAAGATGAAGGGCATAAAGGTAGTAGGATCTGCTGCATTTCTGTCTCCAAACTGCCGTCAAACTGTACGCGGCATGATCTGCTGCGTTTCTGCTGCCAATCTGCCGTCAGACTGCAATATCTGCTTTGATTCTGTCGCCAATCTGCCATCAGGTTGCTAAGTAGGTTCTGTTTAAATTCTGCTATCAGTTTGCTATCAAACCTGTTTGATAGCAAACTGATCTTATCTAAATACTGCTGGCATTCTGTTGAAATTATTTTATACTACATAGCTCGTAACAATTCTAACGCCATTCTATCTACAAAACCTGCAACAAGTGTTTGGCAAAATTTGTTTCCAGCAGACTTGGCTATTAGAGTATCTAAAAATGAATAGGTGGTGATAGCGAGATAAAACTGGATTGTGATCTAGCACGGGCAAGAGAGATAGGATATGCTTAGGGTAGTCGGGAGGATTGCCAACTCCGAGAGAAGAAATGAGTATCAGACTTATCGGAATTATTACAACGAAGTGACCGAAAAACGCGGTGGTATGAATAATGAGAGTAGAATGTAAAACTTATTTTCAGTGTGGGCTGGGAGTATATTTTCTCCTTGGTCTAGGTTCGAGACAATCTTTGGTATCTTGCAAAGGGATCCTCAGATGTGGGTGAACGTGGACGGGTTGATTCTGCTATGATTCGCATACTGAGTTGGCATTCACTGAATTTATCGTTGCTCGGGTCACCTTTTTTGAATAGAGAACGCGATAGAACTTGGATTGGAAACGAATTGTAATCTTGTCTAACAAATGAATACGAACGGATGAATTGCTCTACGAATGAATTATTCTATGAAAATGCGACTAAGTGCTTGGAAGAGTGCTTCTAAGATTTTGCCACGGATGAAATGCTCTGACAAGGAGATGCCAAAACCTACTAAATTGATTTCTGAACGAGACATAGCACGTTCGCTAACTGCGATGTTAAGCATTAACATCCTAATTAGGGTTTGTGCCAATGGGTGAGAAATTACAATATAAAGTTTGGGTTGCGGGACTGTATCACGGATATGGCTAAAAATGCAACTGGCTTTCAGCAAAATGGCGTGGCCGAGCAGACTGAGGCTCCCACGGCGCAAGTTTTTGAGCCGGCAGCGAGCGTTCGAAACCCGGCGACACCTTGTGCGGTGTTTTTTTTTCTTACCTTAAGGCATGTAATTAATGTTTTTCGAATATGATACATTTGTTTTGCATATGTCTCGTTTTTATGCTATTAATCAAAGGTAATTAGGGAAGTTTCAGGCTTGTTTAACGCAAACACGAATATAGACACATATTTTGCATTGCTTACAATGCAATATATATTTTAGTATATATTAAAACGTTATTGATGCTAATGATAAATAATAATAAAGTGATTGTATGCACATTGCATCACCTCGAATGTCCAAATGTATACTTTCATCGTCTGTAAATAAATCAAGATAGTTATATATTCTTGTGATCATATTTTTAACCTGCCTATAAAAGTAAACATTCTACGGCAGGTAGATTGCTGTACATTTCAACGATATTATTTTAAAGTTATATATTTACTTATATTTGTCGGCGCAGAATATCTTGTTGTATATTTGATTGTATGTTTGTCCTCTCCTTTTAATAAGAACTAAAAACTTATTAAATATGAAAACATGATGTTCGATATCAAAGTGATACTTAAATATATCTGGCTTTGTGTATGAAAAAATGTTGACATTCATGTTAGAGTGGATGGGAATGCCGTCCTCTGCTTTTATTGATTTAAAAAGATGTTCGCGGAAAGATGATCATGCTTGGTAATCGGCTC